AAAATTATTGTATATTTTGCTGTCTTAGAAAAGTAAAAGGTTTAGAGGTTTTATTTTGACTCAGTAGTTAAAGAATTTCCATGTAGGATATCCTGACAGACCAAATCCTGACCTAAAATATTTCTTATAGTGCAGTCTTGAACAGTCCTAAAGTAAGTTCTACTGGTAGCCTGCATACTAAAGTTGAAACGAAAAGACTGGGTGCAGAAACTGAGAATAATGATAATGACACTAAAATTCCCCTTATGTGTGGTCCAGATAGAGATGAGACTAATTCACGGTTGATTTTAAAATATAGAGTGTGGCCATAATTAAGTTGCAAGAGGGGAGAAGTTATGGTTCTGCACTACTGGGTTTACAGATCTTTTGAGGAAATCCTGAAGAGTACTTACCTTTTTTACTTTGTGCTTGGTTTTCACTTTTCTGAGTACAAAACTAATCCATATCCTTCTTGCCTTGGGAAGGAAGAGGGGAAACTTGCATCTATTTCATACAAAAAAAAATCACTATTCACTATCCGATTTAGTGAGATGCACTGCATATTTGCTTTCTGCTTCTCTTCTGAAGTCCTCAAGGTGGCAATCTTGCATCAGAGTTAAGCGTGTATTTTTTTTCTTGCGCTGGGTGTCTTGCATGCTATCCTTGTGATGGCAACAAATACTTGCTTGAAGTACTGCAGAGTGTACAGCTGTCCGTTGGGAAAATGCTGGATCTTGCATGTAGCTTTGGACACACGTTGGTTTTTCATAGACTCGTGCAGTTTTAAATTCTGGTGTAGTGGACATGGCAGTATATTTATCTCCTTGGTTGGTAGTTACAAAAATAAGCCCGCAGATAGTGAACTACAGTGGAATAGACTAGAACTTTGTTTGTATGAATTTATTATTTATATATTATTATTACTTATTATTATAAGTTTATAAGGTTTGTATAAGTTTATTCAGCCTTAGCATTTCATCCGGCTGTGGTGCGTACGTATCTGTCCTCTTGCATGTAAAATTGGCTGACAGGAGAAAATAAGAACTCTTTCAGTTATAGACTTTGTGTGTTCAGAAACATGTAATTATATCTTTCTGCTGTTGTAGGCATGAAATGCAATGCAACATTGACCTACTCTGCTATTGGGTTTATGGTATAACTTAAATAGAGAGCTTATTCTTCTTTTTGTATTAGATGGCCAAGTCTACCTGGGTTATGAAACGGTTGGTTTCATGCAGTCTGCATTCTTTACAGGTTTTATGATGGAACTGTAAATGTTTTAACTTTTAAACTGAACCTTTTTATCCTGCCTTGTACTGAGGAAAGGACTGGAGTTTTCCAGTTTTAATTCACAGGGAGGGATGCTGATAGTACTGGTCCTATCAAATGGCAGATATACTTCAGCTCAAGCTGCAAGTGAAGTTTCATTCCCTATCTTCACTTGCTCATTTATTCGGAGGAAAACGAAATCTGTAACACTGCCATTCCCACTGTGTTCTTCTTCTAGTGACTGTTTGAAGTTAGCCACAGAGACTTCAGACTTTGTTTGCTGCTTTTACTACCAGAGGAGCGTTTTTGTAGAGAGGATGAGCGATGTGGCTCCTAGGTCAGTGCCACAGTACCTGGATCTGGTTGTGGGCACGGCGGCTGTGCCCGTCTCTGTGCAGGGAGCAGAGGCAGCAGCGCTGCTCTTGGCCGCTTGAGGTGCAGTTGCTGTAGTTCAGCCCTGGAGGAACCCCGAGGTAGGGGCTGGACCTGTATAAGCTTTGGCTGAGGGTTGTCAGGTTTGCAGGTACGTCATCTCCTTTGTCTTCTGTTCTCTTCTTTCGGTGTTTCAGGGCGCTGTATCCTGCTGAGAGGACCAGAAAAAAATGGGTTGAATAGCTCTACTTTTGGGCTGCCTAATGCATTTTTCTACGCTTTTACATGAAATTTTGGACTGTAAGTGTCCAGAGCTAAGATGAAGAGCACAGTTTAGTTTAGCAAAGCCTGGAGAATTTGAGTTACTGTTTCTAAAAATAATCAGGAGAGAACAGTGTACAATAGTACACTGTTACTTATAGTACACTTAAAATAGTAAGGTGGCGCCTTACTTAAGGAGCCTCTATGTATGACTTAGAGAAATCTTAAAAGAGTTTGCAGGCAGTACTTGCAGACACCAGATACTTCTAGGATATATATTTTTTGTTTACCTTGAAAGCTAAATGTGAGGAAAGCGAAGCATGTGTAATTCACTTTTGAAGTTGCAGAGGAAAAAACAGAAAAGGTCAAGAAACGTAAACATTTTAAGTTAAGCTGCAGTGTCGGTTTGGTTGTACCTTATGATTGCTGTTCTTTTTACTTTTTAAATGACTAGCTTTGTAGGGTTTTTTTTGTCTTAAATGAATCTGATGATTTCACAGATTTTTCTAGAACTTATCTTCTTATTTCTGAGCTGAACAGTTGCATTAATAAGTTTGCTTTGCATTTTGCTTGTCAAGATTGAAGCTGATGGTGAGACTTCATAGTCGGTGGAAACATTAGTTTGCAGTTCTGAGAGTGTAAGTGCACAACAGACTAGTTTTCTATCAGTTTTCAAAGCCGTATTCCAAGTCAAGATGTGCGGTCTTCCCGGTTAACTTGCTGATAGCAGAATTTGTTTGAGAGATCTGTTTGTATCTGCTACAGACTTCCATATCTTTGAAAGAAATGACTTTTATGCCTAACATAATGTTATGCCTAATGTAATCTAATGCCTAACATGTGATACCTTGATGTCTAATAAAAAAGAATATTTTAAAAGGCAAAAAAGCTGAAATCTCAGCCTAATTTTTTATTTTTATTTTATCTGGATTTTAGCTTCTGAGTACATTAAACTATTTTGTTTTGTTTTGTTGATAGTATTAGATAGTTTTTGCTTAAGCTTTTTAGTAATAGGGAAACTTTGAAACTTGAACTTTGAAACAGGAACGTAGCTGTTTTGATAATGATAGTCCAATAGAGTTCAGTATTTTGGTGTATGAGGAGATAGGGAGGACTCTGGAGGACTCTAGCGCTCTGGAGCTGTAACGCCCAGAAGGGGCTGATCACTTCATGGTGGCTTTGACAAAACCCATCTATGAGCCTTCTGCCTTCAGCGTGTCCTGCCTGTTGATCTTGCTGTTGTCCAGCCGTTTATGATGTCCTCAGCTGTATTGATGCTTGAATGTGTGATCTCCTGCTATAAATTAGACAAGTAACATAGCCCGTGGTAAAGCAAACCTTAAAAGAAAGAAAGAAAAAAAAAAAGGGAGGATGGGAAAGAGAGAATTTCTAAAATTAGACTTGCTACTGAAGAAAAATGTGTGTAAAACTCTATTGCCACTATTTATATGTCTTTGCCAGATAAACTGGTCTTATTAAGTGTTTGTATACTAAAAAGAGTTGCGTGTACTTAAGTAATTTGGTTACGTGTCTCTGTTTCGTCTGATCGGTTTGCTCTGGAGCCTGTGTGAAAATCTGAGAGCGTACCTTTGAGAATGGCACTAAGAGGTTGCTGTCCATAATAATTTAGAACAAGTGTAGGGCTGGGCAAGTTATATCTATATTGAGTGAAGAGGTCCCTATAGAAGACTTTCCATCTCCAATTAAGATGATGAACTGTAGTACTCAAGCTGTGGGGCATTTACATCACAACTTCTGATTATTATTTGGTGAAAGGATCTGTTAATGAAGGGCAGGTGGAAGTCAGTTTGCTCTTGTTGCTAGAGCTGAAAACCTAATTTAACGGTTGTGTGGAAAATTAGCTTAGAAGGCTTATAGACAATAATTGTATAGGAATATAAATTTTAACTTTTTTTTGTTTCAACATAAATATACATTAAATACAGTTGAGGAAAGAGTAGCTGAGAAAGTCTAGTAAGAGTGCATGTGGATGAAAGTGTAGGTCACAGTTTCCTGTTCCTTGGACCTGTTACAGAAGTATCTTATTCAGGTGTGTAAGAGAAACGTCCTGAATTACTTTCAGCTGGCACATCCTTTGCATATTTCTGTCCCAAAAGCATTCTAGTTGGTTCCAGAGAACTGGACTAAGGTGGGAAAACTTAGCTACGTGAACTGCGGAGAGACTGTATAAGCGTGATAGGGAACAAGAATGTTTTTTCTTGCTCTGAAGAGCGGACTACTGGAATTAAGTAGAAGTCCAATTACTAACAAATTACTTGTTTTCAGTCCTATGCAATTTAGCGTTTTGGTCTCGGTGGCTGTTAAGCTGATAGATTCTAATATCCTGCTTGAGGTAGTCTGATTATTTTTTAAAAAACTTCCTGCTTTAGTGAGAGACTATTTCTGTCTTTAGTAGTTTAATTCCGTGTTCTGCCAGATTCGTTTGCATGAGTAGTTCCATTGACTCTCAGAGGACTCCTGGCGTTCAGGCTGCTCAGCATTGGCACTGATGCATAAACCAGCCTCGAGTTTATGCTCATTTACAACTCTGATTTATTTTAGTCTCTAACCTTTCAAGGTGTAAACATAGCAATTTCAGACTTGCAGTTTTTGTAGCCCAAGCTGCAATGCGTGTGCCTAATGCTAAAGTGAAGTTATTTTAAAGTATGTGTTATGCATGTACTAGCCAACACAGTCATTGTTGAATGGTGACCATGTTTTATGCTCTGTAATGCCAGTAATTAGCTATTAAAATTCTGAATATTCTCCAGACAAAAAAAAGTAACTAAGCAATTGTTTCCTCATTTACTTTGAGAAGTATTTTACAATATTGATTTTAATGTTCTGCTCAAAGTAAGAGGTGTCACATTATTGTGCTTTGAAGCTGACGTGGGGGAGTTAGGGTGTCATGCATTTTCATTGGTATTCCAAGGAGGAATTGAACTGCACAGGGTTTGTACTTGATGTTTTAAGCCCCTCAAGCACCTCTGTTGCCCTTCATAATGTAATTTGGCATGTTGTAAATTATACAGATACTGAATACAGTGGCACAGTAAGATCTCCTTTGATGTTTTAATTCAGTTATTGCATTTGACATGTCTGTCTTTTTCTCCTCATAGGTGCAGGCAAAACACCGACTTTAGGAGGAGGGTTCCATGCCAACCTAGGAAAGGAGTCACGAGCACAAACTCTGCAGAATGGTACTTGCAAGCTTTAAACTTGTTGATATGACTTTTTTTCTTTTTAATATCATTGATTAATTTTTAGTTTTGAATGTGACCTCAACAACTTGGCAGGCCGCTCATTGGAGAGCAGACAAGTCCGCCTAGTGCTGATTTTACGTTGTGCTCTTATTTGGGGGTTACACCTGATTTATGAGGTCAGATAGCTGGCTGACAAAGGGTAACGGCAGCTGACAGTAATAGCATAGTTTAAAAGGGCTTTTTCAAGGTTGACATGCCTGTTGCGCCTTTTTATTTTCTGGTAACCTACTGTGGCTTTTTTTTTTTTTTAAATCAATTTTCAGAGTTATTTATGTTTATTTTCAAGTATAATTGTTGAAATGCTTTTGTTTTTATGCTATATAATAGGAAGATAATGCATACATTTATGCACACCTCATAGTAAGCCCATGCTGACTAGGCGATTGTTGAACAGAGAGGGGAAAAATGGAAAAAAGATCCTAATGTCTAGAGTATATTTAAATAAATGTTCTGATTACGTTCTATACCTTTTAGCTGAGATCTGTATAATGTGCATTCTTTAAAGAGAGTGAATAAAAGCAGCTTTTATTCCAGGAACAGAATGGTCTTCCAGTTTCAGTTACTGCTACTCATACCAATGGACGGGAGATGTCATTTTTTGGCTAATTAATACTGTTGTCTCGTGACTTTTGGAGGTGACAGCTGATGGACCGTCGTATCAAAGACTCTACAGCTAACATTTAGTTAATCAAGGGATGTAGATAAGTTTTACTGATACTGTATTTGTTTTGGGGGATTCTTTAAATAAATGAATTTCCCTCAATTTCACATGCAACTTGAGAACAGAAAATCTTGGCTGATATATTATGTCTGCATAGGTTGAGAAGTGACAAAATTGATTTGTGCAATTGAAATAGAGCCAGATTGGTTTACTGACCTTTATCCAGCTGATTTAGATACAGATTGTTCGGCTGTTTGTGCTGAGTAGTATCACACTCTGCTTGTTTGGCAGGTATGTGAGCAAGTTTCAGTGCCTGGTTCAAAATTACTGTCTTAGGAGTTTTGAAAATGCTATATAAACTTTAGTAGTGAAACCATGAGAATGGTTTTTACAGTTGAAGAAGTTTGTAATTGAATGAAAGTACTTAATTCCAAACTTTAATTTTGCACAAGTATTTTAAAAATAAATTGGCTTGTTGCACATAAGGACCGCTCAATTCCTCATCTTTAACTGTAGGAAAGTAAAATGCTGAGAGGACGAAATACCGTCCTCTTGGCTTTTGTAGTGCTGAAATCCTTCGAAAGCCTATTTTGTTATCCTGAGCTGTAATGACAATTAAACACAGTCTAGGTGTGCCGGAGTCTAAACATGGCTTCTTTCTCGAATGAACTTTTGCTGGGGAATATGTCTGAGCATCCTCCATCCCATCAGTTGATTAATAGCACACCGGAGAGCCCCCCCCCCCCCCCCAAAATCGTGTACCATGATCTTTACCTGGCTAGAGTCTATTAGCATCATAGAAAAGAGATTATAGTTCCTTAAGTTGAAAATTTCTCCCAAACAGTTTTAAAACAGGAAAATATTTTTTCTTTTTAGCTACACCTGTCTGAGGCTTTTTAAAGTTTGTCTTCTCTCTTTTGTGATTATCCTTTGCGTAAGAAAAAAGAACTTGGTCTTTGATTTCCAGTTGGCAACACATTGGCAACCTGTGTTTGTCATGCTGCCAATCTGTCTCTGAGAAAGTCCTTTTCAATGAGTTAAGCAGTGTTCTTGCGCAGTCCCAGACAGGACAACAGCAGCTGATACTTCAGGTAGAGCAATTGGCATTTGAAAGGCCATTCTTTCTGCCACCATATAATGAGCTAGTTGTCTGCCGCATTTAATCACATTTTGAGCTTTACATGGTTCTTAATTGCAAATTGAGCTATGGCAGTGAAATTACAAAATCTCGCTCTGTCACTGTATGCCAATGATTGTGTGTGTGTGGTTTTTTTTTTTTTTAATTTTGTTAATACTCATTGCATTTGAAAGTGCAGCAAGGCAAATGAACTTACTGCATATATTTTTAAAGGAAAAGTATAGGATTTATTCATTGAATAAAACTGAAGAGGACTGGTAGTTGACTCTACTAAAAATGGACTGTTGTCTTTGGAATACTGTCTGATGGGAAAAAAAAAAAAGCCAAACAATTTTTTTTTCTTTATTTGCTGATACTACTACGTTTGCATTGCCAAATTATCCCAGTTGAAAACGAACCATTAAACTGAGCTCCTGTTGGGATTCTAGTGAAGCACAACTCGTGAACACATTTGGTATGTGTTTTAGGAGATCTGTTTCTTGCAATTCATCGATAGCTCTTCGGTCAAGGTTGTGTGCTACCTTCAGCAGTGTAAGCACGCTATTTTCTCTTACGTTGCGCTGTTGGGTATTGCTGAAGGGAAGAAGCAAAGTCCGTGGGAAGCATAGATAGGCTGTGGAGCCCAGAGTGCTCTGGAGGTTGTCTCCAGTGCATTGGAGAGCAGCTGAGAGCGTGTGCGTGTGTGGTCCGAGTGTGCTGGCAGGTCTCGCAGTATGCCTGCTCTGGCTGCCAGCAACCTGTAAGCTTGATGTGAGCTGGAGAAGAGTCCAGCAACGGAGCAGGGTGGTGTGTGTTTTTTTTTTTGTTTTTTTGTTTTTTTTTTAACAACAACCTCCCCTTGCTTTCCCTTCCTTCCCCCATGTAGTTTGGGCCAAATTCTCCCTTGCTGTACTGTCTGTCTTTTCAGCGGAGGTGAAAGGGAGGTGATTCAGGCCCACTGTTCCAAATTTAATCACTAGTAAAGCATCAGGGGTTGGCTAAATGTGTGATGCTGCTGCTTTTTGAGGCTTATAATTAAGGGATGTTTTGGATGAGATGAAGAACAGTTTTTCATTAGAGTACCTGGGAGTAGTAATGTACGGTTTTGTCTTTTCTCCATTCCAAAGTTAAGAAATTAAAAAGTAAAAACTCCAGCAAGAACGGTTGCTTAACAGTTCTGGACTTTTCAGCAAGATTACTATTTTGCACATTGGTGTTCATATATACTGTCTATATAAAGCTATGGGCAAAGCCTGAAGGTTTTATAGTTTCCAGGTTTGTGCAAGTGTGTCTAATACACAGAACTAGTTTCCCTTATCAGACAAGCCTTTGCTGTATTTTTCCTTGCTATTTATAATGCAGTGGTGCATGGCAGTTGGCATTATCTGCTTTTCTTTCCTGAACCGGATGATGTTTGTGTGTGTTTGGCAATTAGCTGTAGTTTTAAAAAAAAGGAATCTTATTTACACTTGTTAAAATGCTTATCCATGAAAGACCTAATACTGTTGTATTTGTTCATGAACAGTTTTTGATTTCCGGTGTGCTGTACTGTGCTAATTGACCCAATTCAGCTCCACAGGTTCGGCAAGCTCAGGACCACAAAATGGTTCATATCTGTTTGTGCAGAACTCATTTTTATAATAAAAACCTGCACATCTGTGAGTTAACATAAAGAGATGTTTCAGCTTTGCTTTAAAGGATTTGACCAAATAGCCAATCAAGTGGTGCTGTTATTTGTGAAGAAGAGGAGTTATGAATTAAATATTAACTCAGACAGGGACCCTTTGACAAGAATTCTTTCTTTGTTTTCTGAGCCTCTTCAAAGTGCTGTGTTATTACCCAGCTTTTATGGGTGCTTAGAGTGCTGAAATTCAGAACTCTGTCTCTTTAAATCTTGTTTTACAGCTCTGAACTACATTACATAATCTCTCTAAATAGCTGGTTTATTCTTGTTTCCCTGCAGACAATCTGCTCTCACTCTATCCATGTCAGATTCATAGTTACAAGTAAGTTGTTCTTGACTTGGAGCTCTGATACTTTCAATAGAGTATTCAGTGGCCAAAAAGAAAAGGGAGAAGGGAAAGAAGGTCATTGGCATGATTACAACTTGAAAGCTTCAGTGACAGATATTTAAATTTGGTTAAAACTAAGTTTGAAGATTGTAGCTCTGTTTAACTTAATCCGGTTTCTAAACTGTTGTGCTGTGCTTTTAATCATTCCTTTAAATGAGTATGTATGTTTTCCCTCAATCCTCTTAAATACCAAAGCATAGCTAGCAGTAGTTTATATCCTAAACGGAACAGCATTACTGAAGATGTTCTTTAATGCGTATTTTGACTGTTTGCTTTTAAACAATTTGCTTGATTTTAAACCTGTGTTACTGTCACTGATTTCATAGCTGGTTTATTATGAGTGATTATGAGAGGCTCTACTTCCTACCAGGACTACGCAGTATGAATTACACCAGGATTATATAATATACATGAAGACCAGATGCATCCAAAGAACAAAAATAGAGAACATACCTTTATTTAACAAAAAGAAAACTACAAGAGAGCAGAGGATAGTAGAATCATAGAATAATTTAGATTGGCAGGCAACTGTGGAGATCCACGCTCAAAGCATGGTGCCTTTGAAGTTGCATTAAGTTGCTCAGGGCCTAGTGTAGTTGAGCTTTGAGTATCTACGAGACGGATACGATGCAGTCACTCTGGGCAGCCTGCCCTAATGCTTGACCACCCTCATTGTGAAGAATTTTTTCCTTGCATCTGGTCAGAATTGATTTTGCTGAAACTTGGCTCTGTGGCTTCTTATCCTTTTGCTGTGCATCTCTGACAATTCTGACTCCGTCTTCTTTGTAACTTCCCACTGAATAATTGAGGATAGCAACAAGACATCCCCCTTAGACTTTTCTTCTAAAGACTGAATTAACTCAGCTCTCAGCTTGAAGTCACGTACTTCAGCCTCCTAATCATCTCAGTGTCTCTCTGCTGGACTTGCTGCAGTGTGTCAATGCCATTCTTGGTGCAGGTGGGTCCTGAACTGGACAAAGTACTCGAAATGTAGTCTTACAAATGCTGAATAGAGGGTGTTAATCACTTCCCTTGACCGGCTGGCTGTACTCTTAATCATGTAGCACAGAGTACAGGTAGCCTTCAT